ATATAATATAGCCATAACCTATCAAAGTCTTGCTATAAAAGCAATTTTCATGTGGCTATATCATTGAACTATTTAGCTACATAGAAAATAATATGTGGCTTTGTCAAATTACTTGCCACGCATAATTTACGTTGAAACTGAATAATTATGATTCGTGCCATGAAATATGACACTGATATAGCTTCGGGTAAAATAAATCGTGGCTAATTCTGTTTGAGGTTTGTCATATACATTATTTTGACTAGTTGATGGAAAACCATTAGTCACAGTTGTTCCTATCACTAGTTCAACCAATTCATGGCTCAAGATGGTCGTTTTTGTCTGGCAAAGTCTCACGACGATTAGCTTTTGGTGGCCAATCGTCAATACATATATAATGAATTTGTCACTAATAAATCCAACAAATGATGCTTCATTGCCAACCAATTTTATTTTGTTTTCATGTATGTGTAGTTGTGACTATCGTATTCCATCGGTTATAATACAGATCCTACATACATTTCTCTAAAAATATTTCTATAATAACATGTGCATTCATAATTCAACAATGATATTAGAACACTCGTTAAATGAAAATATCACAAATGTACTAAAAATGGAAAGTCCCCTTTTTCATTCATCCTATGTTATGAACGAAGCATCCACGAAATTATATATGGTTGAAGTCAATGATGAGACATCCACCAAATTATCCCAAGCGGCTTCTGCTCTGAAGAACCAAACCTGAATTAAAAAAGAAGTTTAAGCAAATGAATTATGAGTCATGTTTAATTGTTTATAATTATATCGAAAATACCATAACAATAATTACATAAATATTCAAGGAAGAACCTTCCATCCCAAGGAGAAGTGCATACTCTGAGATATGAAGCAAACTAATAATAATCTAGTACTTTCTCCATGTAAACCTGGAAGTTACAGGGGAAAAAAAAAAGGATTTCACAACTGCATCAATTAGTTGTAAAAAATTGTGTCAATTACTATCAAAATAACACATCACTAGATAACTTTCGATACTATAATTAGACTTGTGCATCCTCCACATCGTGGCCATGGAGAGTGTATAACTGAATAAAAAGAAAGAGTCAGATACCGCGTTCAACTACTCGGCAATTCCTTGTGCTAATGATTTGCATATCTACCTAACCGGAACACTTGTTGTTCGTTGATCTTCGTCTTGAGATAGTAGCCAGGAATACATAAGATGTGGAGGCGAGGGAGCAGAGAAAGAAAGAAGAGTCTGGGGAGGAAGAATGAGGGAGATTGGAGGAAGGTCGGCGGAAGAGGAGCTAGATTATATTAGGTATTAGGTTAAGGAAAGATGGGGGAAATAGGTTAAAGTTATTCGAGAGACTTCTTCTCAATTTTTCCTTTACGCGGGACATTGGCAGGGTGGGAAAGTCTAAATTTTTTGAAATCCCGCCTCACATTTCACTTCGCCTATTTAGGGTGGCCAAATTGGTCTATACCGCACCATACCGGACCGAATCGATTTTTGGATCGGATCAAACTGAATCGAATATAATATGGTTCGGTTCTTGGTACTATGAATTTTATTTATGCTGAAAAAAATGGACCGAATTTATATTTGGAATGGACCGAATGCACTATTGATCCGGTCATTGGACCTAATATGTATTTCACTATTGAACCGCGATTCTCCTGAATTTGGTCTGATCCGATTCGGACCAGACCAATGCCACCCCTATTCCATGATTACTTTAAGAAAATATGTTACTTCCCTCTTCTCTTACCAAGGTTGACGGAGCCTATTGGCCCGATCGAACAAGTGAGTTGAGAATTAATAGTATGATCGTTTTAATCTGATTTAGGATTTATATATGAAAAAATCATTATATTGTTCATACATGTATAAATTATATCAAATCACATATAACATTACACTAAAATAACATTTCATACTTGAATTCAACATTTAATGAAAATTCAAGCACAGTCATAGAACACCAATATTCAAACGTTCGAGTAGCAAAGTAGTTGCAAGCAAGTAGTTAGACGTCCCAAACTAAGACTAACAAAGTAACTACTATTAATATTCACTGACCCCATTTGAAATAAATTCTTTAATTGTACTCAATTTTGAATGCCAAAAATAGTGTTAGGCGAAGGGGAAACTGGAAAATATGCACATTTTGAAAACCAAAAGAAAAATGACGTCGTATAACCTCCAACTCATGACGTCGTCAACCTACGAGTGTGTGGCGCTCGTTTTCCTCATCCTTTAAGGTCAAACCGGATCAACCTACAGGTGGACAACCTTGTCTCTTACTATCCTCATTAGTCATTAGCCAACGCAAAAGCAATACACCAAATGCGACCAATATTTCTAATTAGATTTAGACTTTATATCAAGGTTGTCAAACCGGTTTAAGTCATTGAGCCGGTGAAGTACATGGTTCGAGATTTCTTGGTAGGATTGGGTTTCAATGGTTTAAGCCTTTTTATACATAATATAGAAATATATGCGTATATATGATAAAAATTAAGATTTTGATAATCTTAAAGTAATTTGATAGGTAACACTAACATCCAATAATTTAACAATAAATTTATTTTCTGGCCCTGTGTGTATTCAGGTTCAACTGAGTGGCTAGATAATGGCTTGACAACCATGCTTCACACATATATAATTGATATAGTTTGATTCACTTTTAATATTAAAGAGATGAAGATAAATTTAAAATTAAGAATGAATAAGCTTTACAATGGTTTTATTTCTAGGAAGATTAAGTTATAAAAATGATTTATGTAAATTTATGAATATAGTCCAGCAAGTTATTATTATTAAGTCCGGGGATCGAAAATCCAGCCTCGCAACAGTTGTTGTCATCGCTTATGAATTTTTTTTCTCTAAACATGTTGTAAATATTGACGTTTTTTCGTTGATTATTGATCTCGAGTTCTAATTTTGGGTGTGACGGATATTCTCTATTTCACACATTACCATCAGGCTAATTCCATAGGATTTTGTAAATATTAATTTAATTGAAGATTCTTTTGAAAAAATAAAGGTACACAATTTATTTGTGTGGGAGTACATCTATTATCTATATTTATTGATTTTCATCACAAAATATTAGCTCCAGCTATAACAATTGGATGATATTAATTGCTTAAACAGCCACGGTTTAAACATGTAAGGCTAAAGTGGAATCATCAATAGCTAGGATGATACTACTTTCGACACAAAAAGTAATTCTAGCCATAGTTTTTTATTTTGTGGCTAAAAGCAACGCAATCTTAAGACTTTTGCCATGAATCAAAATTTTCAATGCAATAAGGTTATAAATAAGCTTCAAAATTAATTAGTGGCAAATAAATTAATAGCTAAAACACTTATTATAGCTACAATGCGTACAGTTTAAAACCAAAAGTATGCAGTAGCTTCAAGAAAAACTTTTAGTCGCTCTATAATCTAGTAAATTTATGCTTTGCTACCGGACAAGAAAATTTGTGGATGTTTAGATATACTAGCCACGATTAAAATTACCATGGCTAAGATTTCGTGTCTACATGTACAGTTTCTTGTAGTGGTTATGGATATCCAAATATCCGTTTTATTTATTGCGGAATGAGACTTGGGATTGTAAATTTCAACACTGGGTACCACCGGGTTACCCGCTAATAGCCATTTGGGTAATATGTGCACCCGTTATACCCAATATACATTAGCCCAAACCTGAAATTCGTTTCCAAAATCACCCCAAGAAATACTTGCATCACTGCAACAGTGCTCGGCTTTAGGGGTGCTCGACTTTATGGGTGTTTCAAACGGGACGGGTACCCAGTCTCGCCCCGTTTTCCACCCGTACTTAATGTACCGTCTTTATTGCATGATTCATTCTCATAATTATCTCTTTCATAAATCATAATGAAAAAATACTATGAAAATAATGTTTGAGTAGTTACATTTCTAAAATATTTTTTTTTAATTTTAATATTTTCTGCATTTATAGACTAATCCATTTTATATAGGCTATTGAGTATACCCAAAGAAAAAGTACAGTCTTAAAAAGTTACTTATCCATCCAGTCTATATCTAACGGATTGATTTCCTTATGGACGTGCGGGCAGCCGTTTGCCTCGTAGTTACATTACAACTCTTGCTTATACAAATTTGGTACACACGTGAATGAGAAGGGAATGTATGATTGTTTATCCCACCACCAGCAACCATAATTAAGCATTGTTAATTTTATATTCATTGCTTTGGGATAAGCTAAACCCTAATTAATTCAATCTAATGATGAAGTGATTCCCACCAAAAGGAAAAGGAAAAAAAAGAAAGGGGGGAAATGCATTGATTAGAGGAATCAAATGTACAAAAGAAGCAAGGGAAAGTGGGAATCTTGTTTATCCTTTGTCTCCTTCCAAACTGATTAGTTTCTAGCTTAGCTTATGGCCTACCATCTCTTATCATCACTGCCTTTTCTTTTGCTTTATATTTTTGGATTCCTCTCCCATGAAATTTTGTGTTAGTCTAATTTTGGGCATCCTATAGCCAGAAAGGAAGAATAGAAGACAGTCTTGAGATTGTGTTTAGTATATGTGTGACACATCTTCTTCTTTTTCAGTTCTCCCATAAAAAAAATTTATCACTGGAGGCAACAATAACAAAGCTATTATGCATCACAAGCAAACTCCACTGGAAACGGATCTTACATAACCATGTATTTTGGCACACTTTTATTATCATAAAAAATTTCGTGCTAAAAATGGAGTCACCAAAGTAACAAAGTGGTAGCGCGCGATCGAGTACCTCTTATCTATCATTTTTTAAGTCACAAAACTTCGCCTTCTAATAAACCATCGATCCATCATGTTAGTGGAGAAACATTTTTTTTTTTTGACAAAAGATAATCATATATTGATATTCAGAAAAAGCTCATTAGATCACATGCCTCAACCAGGCTACAAAATCAAAAGAACGACTTGCTATCGGGTACAAAAAAAGGGTCTTTCTAGCCACCAAATGGGCTACCCTGTTACTACGCCGACCAACAAATCGAACACTAAACCCCGAATTCTCAGCCAAGTAGAGCAACACTTCACAAAAAATTGCCCCCGCCATACTATCACTCCCCTGAGCTAAATGGAGTCTATCCACACATAACTATTTCTTAATATTAATTTTGGAGTGTGGCGATTATCATCAAGAAGTTTGGGTTTCTCATCTCTCCTTCCCCTGCTCCAGATTCTACTCCTTCCCCTGACTCATCTTAAGCATCCAAACCTTCCCCTGCGCCTCATTCTTTGTCACTACCGCTCTCCCAGTTCATGTAAACTTGTTTTGCACGGCGGTTTCGCGGAGTTCCGGCGGTGATGGGAAGGATGAGGAGGATCTGTTTTCCGACCTACCGGAGGAGAATGTGAGCAGCAGTTTTGACGGTGGTGGTCCAGGTGGTGGTGATGGCGAGGAGGATGAGGACGAGGACAGTGATTACGACTGCTCTGAGGAAAGCTCTCACGGTAGGTTTAATTTCTGTTTCACTTTTTTTTCTCCTCTAGCTTGGTTCCATAGTATGAGAGAATTGAATGAATTTGAGTCACGATATCGAATTGGAATTGGCCGCAGGGGATGATGAGTTCGAGGGCACGAGCTGGAGCAACTCAACCGGAAGAAAGAAGAACAACAACAAAAACAAGAAGAAGCAGCAGCGTCGTCTTCTCAATGGCACCGCGGCGAGCCCTCTTCGTATCCGGGCCGCGACAGGCCACCATCCTCCAACAGCGCCTCGATCGGCCGTCGGCGTGCCTCCGTCGTCACCGCCACCATGACCGAGACTTACATCAGCCTCCGCCAGGCGGTAATTAATTAATTAATTACTACTCTGTTCCAATCACCACCACACTCTTTCTTTCTTTTTTTTTTTTTTGGTTCTCAATGTAAAATTAAATGCGCCATTGTACTCGGTACATACCGCGGGAGTTTTCGGAGACGTACATGAAGGAGAGCGAGCGCGTGGGGCTGAAGGTCGGGGAGAAAATGTGGGAGATGAAGCTGACGAAGCTCGGCGGCGAGGAGCGGAAGCGGAAGAACACCAGGATCACGGGCGGATGTCCAAGCTCGCCGTCGCTGCTACCCTACCAGTACTTCTTCCATGAAATGGGTGATGGAAGAAGTGGTGTGTGTCAAGTTGATTGAATTTTTTTTTTGTCAAATGGGTGTAAAAATTAGTTGGAAAGTAGAAAATTATAAATTTTATTTTTTATTAATTTTTTAATTGCCACGTCACTCATTTAACGGTCAACTATTAGAGTTGACTGCCACATCAGCAAAAGTTAACGGAGACTAACGGCCAGTGACCAAATTTGGACTGTTAACCTAATTTAAGTGACTACGAATGGAATAAAGTAATTCTAGTGGCAAACGTGAAATTTTGTAGCAATTCGAGTGACCAAACTTGCAATTAAGCTCCACTGTCTCTAGAATCTTAGTGCATGCTTCCACTATCACACATGCACGCTCTCTCGCCCTTTTCAAAGTGTCAATATACAAAAAATGATTACCATACTTCATTAACTAAGTTGTACCTTTATGTACCGAGCAAGGCTGTGTAACAGTTTGGTAATCTGTAAGTATCGAATTGTATATGATCAAATCGACGATTGGATCAAATTATACAAACCAAATATAATACTGTTTGGTTCTTGGTCCCATGAATGTCATACATATTGAAGAAAAATGTACCGAAATGACATTTGAATTGGACCAAACCGATCTTAATGCATGATTGATACAGTTTTTGGTCCAAGATATCTTTCACTATTGAATTGGAGGTTCTCATGAGTTTGGTCCGACTCGGATCGGACCGTCATACACCTCTATATTTAAGGAGCTAAATTCACTTAACTTAAGGCATCATTTGAAGGAAGAAAAAAAAAAAATTTAACCATGGATGCAGGAAAAAAAATTATGTTTCTTATGCTTTTTCATGGTGAATTTTAGCTTTTTGATTAAGCTTAAATATGTCTTTGATTAAAAAATTAAAATTTCTATGTTTTTCAATATTAACCACTATAGTTATCAGACAAAAAATTTAATTTTTTTTAATAATCTAAGAGTTAGAATCTAAGAATCTAAAGATTTAAATTTCAATTCTCCAAATCAACCAAAACTGTCCTAAGTTACAATTATTGATCACATGTTCTATTAGAGCTATCCTTTCCCACCGCTAAGAAAATGTAATTTCTTATGCTAAGCACAAACAAAAGAAACAATGCTGATTTAAAATAATATGAAAACCCTAGCTAGCAGATTAAATTAAACTGAAATAAAAGGGCAAGATCATGTGCATGCTTGGGAATTATTGGTGATGGTTGTTGAAGCGATAATGACAAGAAATCTTAGGGAGGGGAAGTGGTGATAAAGAGATCGAGATACGCTATTTCTAAGAATATAATAATGCTGTTGGCCAATAGTTTTAAAAGGAAGAGATTAATAAAAGATTTGCCAAAATCCAGCTAGAATCACCAAAATCTGTACTTTGAAGATACACTTGCCTGGTGAGGACAAAAAGAGAGTTTTTTCGGTAAACAATTTGCAAATTGCGAATAGTTTAATGTCTCTAGGATTAGCTATTTGTTGGGAAAGCCTAATGGTTTAATTTTTTTATTTTATATATTAATGCATCGTGTTCAAATCTTCATTCAAAACCAATCGAGTAGGGATGGAAATTTGAACCGTCTCGTTGGGTATTATCCGATCTGACTCGCGATGGGACGAGTGTTATCCAGCCCGCAGTAGCATGGGGCAGGGTATGAGTATCTACTTTCAACCCGCCCTGCCCCATCCCGCCCTATTTTTGGCCCATTCTATTTCAATTTTTTACATGTATCTATTCATATTTTTCATATGTGACTTTTCTTCAACTACTTAGATTTGATCTTTCAACTAGTTAGACTTAATTACCCATTATATTATCAATATTTTTCATTCATAAAGTATCTCTCACTTTGTTTTATTGTAAAAAGTCAAATTTTGCATGTATTTTTTTTCCAAATGACATGTAAGAGGGGGTCGACCCGCCTCTCCCCGTACCCACATGGGTATACCCGCTCTAACCGAAGAAGCCTGAGGCATGACATAGGTATTGAGGTACCCTCTCTGCTCTGTCCCGTCCCATTGCCATCACTACAATCGAGGTTTGGAATGGCCTTGAATATCGTACAAAATCCAATGATACAATGCAGGATCGGAACATGGAAAGGAATGTAAACCAAGAGGGAACAAGTGTCTTCAATTAGCAAGAAAGTCAACACACTTGAACTTAGCCATTGGAGTTGAGAGTGACCACTCAAGAGGCAACAACCTCCAAGAGATCAACGCCTCCATTCCCATGGGTGGATGTGACACATGAACTTGTCAATCCTTATCTAGGGCATTTCTCACAATCAAAACACATGCATGGATGCTCTACACAAAGACTCTAGTTGTAATGATCTTGCATATGAAGATATGATCGTTTCTGGGCCGCTAGAGGGATCAATAGATGGATCCAAAATCAAGGACTGTATGTTGATCGCTTATATGATGTTGGATCCATCCTGTAGCTGCAATATGAAGAAATGTTGGTATTCAGAAGGTCGAACGGAATACGTCCAAATTAACCGGGCAAACGTACAATGCTGCAACACATGCATGATTGTTTATTGGGCTTGATGATAGTGATGTGCAAAATATAGTATTATGCAATCGAATAATAATAATCCTAGGTATGTCTAGGGTTGTATTCCACTGGAATTATGATGTAACTACTTTCAAACTAGAGCATGTATTCAAATAATATGATGACAAAAATATTAAAAACCATGGGTTGAGGTCTCTATGGTTTGGTTGATAATCCATACCAAACAACCAGAAACTAGACAATTAAAGCAATAGGAAACAACTAATAAAGTTGATTGTTTAGGTAGTGCCATCTATATGATCATGCATACGTTCTCATCAATGAGATGATCTTAAACATTTAACTATTGTAATGCCATATCACTTCCATATAAGCCTTTTTAATCGAGGTATCGACACATGCAAAAGGAATTATGACTAGCTAATGCGTGTTTTCTCTTCATGTTACTAGACTAATCAATCAAACAAGGAAGTAAGGATAACACATTGCTATTTAGTGCCACAAGCCATAACAATGGTTTAAGGTATTGATGATATAATGTATCAAGCATCTATCTTCATGAAGGGCTATGCACTTCCCTCCATACATATCTATGATAGATGCATACCACATAACAATGGTTTAAGGTTTTTTTCATAAAAATGAAAGTGGTTAATTATAATTAACTACACAAACATCTAACACCCTTTCTTAATTTGTGTGATAGCAACCAATGATGTGTAGTGGCGACAACCTTGACGAGAAAATTTGTGTCTAATCTTCGGAAGTGATATACGAAAGAGTGATATGTCCTTTAACAACCAGCTGACGAATATAATGGATATGGACTTCGATATGTTTGGTATGATCATGGAGCACATGATTAGTTGCGATGCAAATAGCACTAGTATTATCTTCACACAACTTCATAGGAGATCGACACACGAGACCCAGCTCCCTTAGAAGACGACGGAGCAAAACCCACTGAGAGGTAACTTCAAACATGGATCGATATTCAGCTTCTGTAGAGGACTTACACACCCGATCCTACTTCTTACACCACCAAGAAATAAAGGACAAACCAACTTTCACACACCAACTTGAGGTAGATCAACTAGTTTCCACATAACTCATGTAATATGCATAAGCGTATGCCTCAACATAACTAGTGGAGAATGAGATTAGCAACAACAAGATGAAAAGTCTGCGGATCCGACATAAGCTAACTCACTACTTGTAATGCATACAAGATGTCAGGTCTAGTATGAATAAAGTAAATAATAAACCCAACAATACTGCGATAAAACGAGCCATCCGAAAGAAGATCACCCTCACCCTGGTGTAACTTTAGATTCTACTGCATCGGTGTAGTGCAAGGATAACGAGACTCCATATGAGCCATTTTCAAGAGATCTGCAATATAATTTTACTGACAGACTAGTAGACCAGCTAGTGAACGATGGACTTCTGGGCAAGAAAGTAGGACAAGTCACACAACTCCTCGAGATTAAATGCTTCCCGAAGGACACGAATAAGGGACTGAATAACAGATGGATCGTCACCACTCACAACCATATCATTCACATAGATAAGTAACATGGTGAGACCATGAGTTGTTTGAAGCATGAACAAGGAACGATCATTATCGCTCTCAGTAAAGCCAACAACCAAGATTGTATCATTAAACTTTCAAACCATACATGTGACGCATGTTTCAAACCATATAATGACCACCGAAGCAAACAAACCTTAGATTTATTCCCTTCAAATACCCTGGTGTACACTCTGTAGAAATAGTCTCCTTTAAGTCACCATGAAGAAAGGTGGTTTTCAAATCAAGTTGCTTCAAAATCCACCCTTCATAGCTGCAACGGCAAGTAATGTCCGAACAATATGCATTTTGGAAACCGTTGCAAATGTTTCTTCACAATCAATGTAAAATTCTTGTTTCAACCCTTGTGCCATAACCCAAGCCTTAAAGTTTTCAACAGAACCGCACGGAAGCATCTTGATGGTGTGAACCCACTTGGACCAGATAACAGGATGGTCTCGAGAACGAGGAACAATATCCCATGATGCGTAACCTCTAACACTCAGTTTCAATGGTCATAGTCTCCTCCCAATACGGACTCCCACAAGCTTGCTTGTAGGTAGCTGGAACTGGAATATGAGCAGTATAGAAAGTAACAAAATCTTACATGCGAGGAGACGACATGCCCTTGTCGGCACGCAAGGAACGGGGAGGAGGAGGATCCGGAGAAGAGAATTGATCATGAGCTGAATGGTAAGAAGCAGTTGAGGTAGCACGGGAAGCACCTATGTCAGCATTCAAGGAAGAGGATGAGGAATGAGGATGCATGGAAGATCGAGGATAGGAGGTGAAGTGGCGAAAGGAAAAGCACCGGAGCCAGAGGTAGACGACACATTAGAGGAAGATGGAGATAAGGGATCTGTCAGCAAGAGTGAGTCGGGTATAGATTGGGGAGGTTCGACTCCATGGAATCAGTAGCGCGAGTGGCAACAAAGAAGAGTTGGGGCTGCAAAAAACCCAAGTGTGG